GAATCTATTGTGTTCTCGGTTGTCACTCATTCGGCGATCTGTCAACTTTGACGCGTTGTTTTCAATTCAAAATAAAATTCATCAGCATGAATTCGGATCAGGAAAGCTTAGATTCCGATATAGATATTGCGGCGAATGCAGCAATCGGAACTTTAGTACCTAAATCCCGGGATAGGTACGAAAATGAATGTCTATATCCATGATGAATTGGTTCTTATTTCTTTTTTTGAGTAGAAATAGAATTTCAAATTATATTTTTTTCACTTAACCGCACTAGGGCGGTGAAGTATCTCATTACGATACTAAAAGCAGTGTCGTAATGGTTCACATCACATATTGGTAGTAGGTAAATAGTTTTCATCTCTTTTCTGCTTAGTTCCTTACAGGATAACAAATTGAATTTCAAACCTGGAGCATATCGCATTTCTCTGATTGGAGTCTCAACAGTTTCACCATCAACTAGAAGAAATATTGTGATTTCTCCTATTCCAGTTATTTTGAACTGTTCACCTGATGCTGTCGTTAATAGTTCATTGGTATCTAGAGGCTTGAAGTTTCTAAACCATTCCCTTCTTCCAGTGGCATGAACAGAAGCACCTGAGTCTACACACCAGTCATTTATATTCAGATTTCCTACACTGAATATCGAAGAATGTATCATGAGACCAAATTCGGCATTGGCATTTTCTACCTTCTTGGTAGCTGGACCTCGACAATTCCTAGACTTGTGTCCGATTTTATTACATCGTAAACATTTTCCAGAGGATCTCTTGAAACGTTGATGTGGATTTCTCGTTATTAATGCAGTTTCTTTGCATACATTTTCAAACTTCATTGACTCTGCTGACAGTCGCTCTTTGACTAAATCTGTGGTCAGTTCTCCAATGCCATTATCAAAGGTTTATAATGATCAGGTAAACTAACGAATATAAGCGCTGCTAAGACTCCGTTCCTGATCTCATCATCAATAGATTTATACTGTTGGGCAATTTCGATTTTCTCGTTCAGGTAGTCATCCATACTTTGACAATCAGTATACTTGATCGTGACTAATTTCTCTATCAATACAGCAAGTCTTGTTATGTGTATTATTTTAGACAACAACAGAATATAAAACAAAATGATGGACTCATAGAATCATTCCATCGATGAATGACTTCTTCAACACCCCCACTTGATCCTGAGTCCATGCTAAGAACTTTAAGACCCATTTTATCTCTACATCATGTACTTCTTCTTATCCACTGGTTTCGTCAAAGAATCTGCCACCATATATTCAGTTGAAACTTCTCTTCTTTTACAGCTTCTCTGATGGAATGGTGTTGAACATCTATGTGCTTAGTTCGAGAGTGATGGACAGAATTTTTAGACAATTCTATTGCAACCTTATCGTCACAGTAGATAGGAATTGTGTAGCCAGTCAGTCAACTGTAGTTCTTGAATTATTGACTGCAACCACAAAGCCTCTTGTGTTGCATGCGACAACGCAACATATTCTGCTTCCGTAGTTGATCTTGCAACAGTTTGGCTTCTTACTGGACCAGCTGAATACTCCTCCAGCTAACTTGAAACAATACCCTGTTATAGATTTCCTATCATCCAGGTGTCATCTGCATAATCTGCATGTACATATCCATGGATTGTGGAATTATTAGGTACTAGTCTTGTAACTTATGCAAGAATTCGTTGTGCCTCTTAAATATCTCATGATCCATTTAACAGCTGCCCAGTGCTCTCGGCCAGGATTGGAATTTGAATTTACTGAAAACCCCCACTGCTAATGATATATCAGGACAAGTTGATTGTGCTCCATACATGAGACTGTCTATTGCCATCACATATGGAACAATCTAAATTTCTTCTTTCTCAGAATCACTTATTGGAGACATAGTCAGACTAAATCTTCTTCCTTTCTCCATTGAGGTAGAAACAGGGGTCGAATCACTCATGTTGAATCTCCTCAGGAGGTTGTTGATATAACTTTCTTTCCAGCTTTCAGTTCTCTGATTTTTGTGTATATATGAGTTTTCACACCAGATACAATTGCTGCCAAAGCCTTCTTGTTCATCTTCTCGCTGGTTCTGCTGCCATTAACATAATCCCACAGCTCGCAATTCACAAGATGGATTTCCATGCTGTATTTTTAATCAATATAATTGGCACTACCTTCTAGTTTATAGGATGCTGGCACTGTTGTACAACTCGTTCCTGACATTATGCAACTTCTCCAAAATGAATAATATGCTGCCCAATACACAATTTATGTATGTAAGACTTCTGGGTCCATAACCTCATATATTTTGGAGAAAGACTATAAAAACGGTTTGACGTTTTTCAGATGACGAATTGAATTTATAATTTTAGACATCAACTGTTGACAACAGAATATAAAACAAAATGATGAACTCATAGAATCATACTATCGATGAATGACTTCTTCAACATATGTGGCGTCGAAAAGAGTATCCTACTGCTCTCAGTACTGCTGGTGTTATACTCCTGAAAGCATTTATGATCCTTTCCTTCATATCATCAACTGTCGTTGGAGTATCTGTATACACAATTTCCTCAACGTAGCCCCATAAAAAGAAATCCATACTTGTTAAATCAGTGGATCTAGCAGGCCATTTGGTTGGTCCGTTTCTTTCAATCCAGCGCAGTGGGTAGATATAATTTAAGTGTTCTTTTACTGCATTCAAATATTGTGGCTGAGCACCATCTTGCTGATACCACATTCTATTCCTTTCAGGAAAATTCACTAGTAATTGCGGCAGATTGTTTTCCAAAAAATGCAAATAAACAATTCCTGTCGTGGTACCATCAAAGAAATGCGGCCCTATTACATGTTCTCCGATGTTCTCCAATGATTCCTCCCCAAACATTTCTGGACCATCTATGCTGATTATCAACTTGCCGGAAGAATGTGGATTTTCTAATGCATTGTGATGTAAATTATGAATTAACGGAGCCATTCTCATGAACGGTCGCCTCATCAGTGAACAATACTTTATTGAACAAATTTGCATTCTCTTGCATTTTCCTTCTCTCCCAATTGAAAAACTATTGACGCTTTTTGAAGTTCTCATTACTAAGTTCTTGATGCAATTGAATGTAATATGCATGAAATGTATTCTTCTTAAAAATTCGACCAACTGAACGCCTACTCATTCCAACGGATGAACACCCTTCTTCCTGACTGATGTGGGGATCCACAACCATCGCTAGCATCACAGAAAACTCGTTTTCTTCATTGTTAATATTTTCCTCCGTTCCTTTTTTTGTATTGTACATTGCCGGTATCTTAAAACCTTTCAACCAAATTCTGAAAGTTTTTGATATCAGGGGACCTTCTTCCAGGATACCGCTGGTGGTAAACTCTAGTGGCAAGCAAACAATTCCTTCCTGACACTCCCTGAACAAAAATCATATCGACAAGTTCTTCTTTGGAGAAATGCATTTCGACGAAATTCGAATATTTCAGATTCGACACAAATGAATACTCGACTAGTGCGATAAATGTTCGTCCAGTAATAATTATGATAAAAAACTGAAGCAAACCAGAATAATGTATACGAGCAAAATACTTCCATACTGGAAACATATCCGAAACGGATGTATAAAAAGTGAATGAAATCACAAAGAAACTCATGATGTTCTTATAACAGATGGAAATGTGTATCGTTGAAAATGGCCGACCTATAATTTTCAAAGTTCAATAATTCAAAAATGGTTAAGAAAATCGAGATGGATATTCAGAGAAGATATGTTTGTGTTTTGATTTAACATCAGATGGCCGAAAAATATATGGGGTGTTTCATTTGAAAAACTCGAGAAAAATCACTTCGAAAAGTTCTGAATTGAAAAATCATCTTCAGCCACCCTGTATAATTTGAGGGCATGAAAATTCTTCATAAATATTACGTATCCTTCCATCGAATGATATTATGATAATTTTTTCTTAGATTTCATAATTGTGACGACAGTGATATTTTCGGTATGTATCTGCAGATGAAATTATTTCTACAATGAAAATCATAACTTTGATCTAGATATAGTCAATAATGTCATGGATAGAGCTCACAGAAAAGCATCCAAAAATGTGCTAATATAGAGGGCATTCTATTTAAAGATAATTATCCCGACTCTGAATTTCTTCAGTGCGCCCTGTATATGCGGCAAAAATTTCTAGAGCATGTCTCATTCAAATTCGTTTTTGAATAATGTAGAACTCGAGCAATCGAGCTCCGACGCACTTATACCCCACCCTGTATATCCATTTTTTTATGTTCATAATTTCATCTGAGAATATTCCTTCTTAATACAATACCATTCAAGGGGTTCAAACTTGAACGATGGAAACTTGTTATTTTTATAGACCTTTGATCGCAGATTCGTGATTAGGTTTTCTCAATTCAGTATTTCTTTCCACGTCCTGTTTGATGAATATCAATTTGTCATACATCAAAAAGTATATATATTCTCGACATAAAAGCTCTGATTCAACAAATTTCGAAATTGATTTAGGAAAAGATCATGATCATAGTAGAAAAAAAATCTAAAGACCAATCATTTGCTTAAATGGGAACATAACAAACGATCATTTGAAATTATTGTTGTATCCTCATATTGCTCTGATGAGTAACTATAAGATTGGGCTAGCCGATTGCGAAAGCCGAATAAAAAACACTTATGGGATACATGAATAATTCGATTTTGAATTCTGCCTATAGTTTTGCCCACGACGTTTAATTTGTTGATCAGTTCAAATGATTGAAGATTAGGCAGCGTCATTTGAATGTCCAAGGTAGGGTTGGCTGGAGATGAGGATTAACATAACATTCAATCGATAGTGGTATTGCACTTTTTTCTCAATATCCTTATCGACATATTTTCTTTCAAAATTTGAATCAATTCACATATTGTAAAGGGTGGCTATCTTTGAAGTGAAGTGTATTTGTTAATATCTTAATATAGGCTAATTTTTGATAGTTCATTTCCAGAAACCAAAATCCATTCAGCTGTATAACCAAATAGGAAACTTTTGGCGTATAAAAGGAGATGCTGGCAAAGCAATTGAGTGTTTTCGAAGAGCTCTAGCCGCTTCTCCCCACAATGCAGAAGTCCTGTTGAATCTTGCCAGAGTTTTGTTCTCCTTGCAGTATTTAGATGATGCCATTTACTTGACCAGGAGGTCATTAGAAGTGCAATCATCAGAAAAAGGTTTCTGAACTCTCGAGGATATGGAATCATCAAATACCTGCAAATTTTTGTTGAAGGTGCGTGGCAGCAGTATTTCACTTTAGGAGAGATATTCAAGGCTTACGGGCACTACCAGGAGGCTTCTATCCATCTGAAGCATTCTTTGGAACTCAATCCAGGATTTGAGCCAGCTCAAATAGCGTTAAAAGAGATGGAAACGATGCCCGCTGCCACAATACACATATATACGTTGGTGATAATAGTGTGCTTGGTAAGTTTGTTGTGGAATCGCGACTTCATCATAAGCATCTAGCCGGCCAAGCAAATGTGGCTCCTGCGGTTCCGAAGCCGATAGTTCAGCAACCTTATTTCCCTTGATTCTCACGATGTTCTCTGAACATTATAGGATATCCCTTTTCGTGGGAACCAGAACATAAAAAAATCAACAGAAAATACGGGAACTAATACGTGTAGTCGCAAATTTTTGAATTTTTTTGGTGGATGGTAGGGGTCGGGGGAGCGTTTGGAGTTGATAAACAATTAATCATCATCATCACCATTTTCCATATCGAGTAACGGTGCACCATTCGTACACGTACAGGGTGGGCAAAATTGGGCGTTTTCACGGGGTATCTCAATAACTAAAGAAGTTATTGAAAAACATGTACGGGTTCAATTTTGAAAAAACCTAAAATGACGCATTCGGAATTTTGATATCTCCATTCGTTTCAGAGATACAGGGGGAAATTGAAAAATAGCCGATTTCGTTTTTATTTTCTGAGTGCTTTATGGTGAGGAATATTGGAAATTTCCGAAAGTTTATTCATATAGTATGATGCCAACAAACCGTTGGCACCATTAGAAATTCTATACAAGGTGACATTGAAAAGATACGGCATCCAATATATATATATAAAACGGTGCGCGAAGTACCTCTTTCGTGCATTGTTACGTAAAATATATATATATTTATATTTCAACTTTATGGTCCTCAATCGAGCAAACATCCACGGAATCATTTATTTCTGAATGTTCAACAATAACTTTGTTTTATCCCTTGGATCGCACGAAAGGAAATTCCTATTATGTTCTTAGAACATCGTGCGTACCTAGGGGAGATAGGGGGAGGCCTTTCAAACCAGTTCAACACAACACAATTTTTCATATCAAGCTTATCATATTTTTACTTCAGAACTATATTTGTTGACGTTTGTAGAAAAAATGATGTCTGCAACTCGAGCGCGAAATACTTTGGTCATCCCGACCACTTTTTCAACTCGGCTACGCCTCGTTAAAAAAGTCAGATCTCGATCTTCAAAGTAGAATTTCGCGCTCTAGATACAAAAATATCTATTTTCTACAAACGTCAAAAAATGAAAAGGTTCGCGCATTGATAACAAATTGCGAAGTGACACTTTTTTTCAGTTTCCTACGTTACCATGATACCTTGCACAAAACAATGCGCGAAGTACCTACTTCGCGCATTGTTGTGTAAAATATATGAGATATTTATATTTCAACTTTATGGTCCTCAATCAAGCAAACATCCACGAAATCCTTTATTTCTTCAACAATAACTTTGTTCCATTTCTTGGAGCGTACGAAACAAGGAAATTCCTATTATGTTCGTGGAACATCGTGCGTACCTAAGGAGGATAGGGGGAGGCCAACACTATTTTTTATATCAAGCTAAGCATATTTTTACTTCAGAACAATATTTTTTCACGTTTGTAGAAAAAATGCTGTTTTGCAACTCGGACGCGAAATACTTTGGTCATCTCGACTATTTTTTAACTCGGCTACGCCTCGTTCTAAAAATCAGATATCGATCACCAAAGTAGCATTTCGCGCTCTAGATACAAAAATAACTATTTCAAACATTTTGAGTGTCGCCTATAACAAAAAAAAAATGTTACGCTCACAGAACTCAAAGACCTAGAAGGCCAATATTGTTTTATTTGAGTGTTCCCTAACGTGGCTCGAACGACATGTATGAGCATGCGCTGAAGAGAAGGTACTATGCCAGGGGCGGCTTCAGAATTATTCGATTACCAGGTTTCTGTGGCTACTTTGAAAAAACATGACAGTGTGAAACATTTATATGATATTCATTATCATGGAGTTTTTATGATATTATTAGGAGTAATGTTTTCACGTATTTTTTTATCAACTGAACAGGGTGGTCCAGGACATACTAGCAATTATTCACTATTTGATGGTTCATCAGAAAATATAAGTCGGTAGTATGCAAATAATACTTTTTTCCGAAACTGTTCTTCAGGAAGGTACAGCTTTCCAACGTTCAGTTTTAAAAATCCTTTTTTATGCTATAATTCTTGGTTACAAGAACTTTTAGTGAATGTTCAATGGATGAACATTTGGTGAATGTACTTGGGAAATGGATGCTCGTTGTTTGATGCAAGTGAATTTTGCCAGAATTGTTCAGTGGCGTAGATACAAGGAGGTTGTTTGACTTTTCCCAGCCTATTCGTTAAACCACTGGACATTTTTCCAATTTCCCTGTTTAGTTTAGGAAGGAAACACTAGTGAAATCTAGATTCTTGGGTTCGTTTACGAGATAAACGAATTTGAAAAAACAAACGAGACCTCGCGAAAATTTGATAGTCAAGTTTTAAAGAAACGATATGCACTAAATGAATTATAACAAACGTTAAGTGGCAAATTTCAACTCAACAAACATCATAATTTGTGGCTATTTCAGAAAACAACGCCTCACATCGAAATTATCTTAAGGTGCCTTTTCTTTTAAATTCAACAGGGAATTTGGAAACAAATGTCAATTTAAAAAATATCAAGTGGCTAAGAAAATAGATTGAGGACAGTGGAATAACCCCTTCGTGTATCTAAGCCACTAGACAATTTTGACAGAAGTTACTTACGTCAAATAACGAGTACCGCCATGTCATAAGATTTTGTTAAAAATCCTTCAATGCCCTGAGAGTTATATGGCAGGAAACGATTTTTGTAACTGAACTTTATTGTAGAGATGTATCTACTTTAGGAAGCGTCTTGGGCAAGAATATGATATGCATGTCGACTTATTTTCGATGGACCATCGAATGATGAATCATTGCAACTTCAACCTAGATCACCCTGTATTATTTTTTTAATATTATCAGTTTTATTTCAGTGGAAAAAAGACAACATGCTGAACAGAAACAACATTTATTGAAATAATCTCAACCAACACAACTAATTTAAAAAAAGTATTGATGAGAAAACAATATCAGTTTTGACAATTGTTTTCCATTCAATTCCTCCCTTATATTTTCTGTTTGAAGTTTGGTGAAACTATAGAAACGGATTTTTTCATAGATTTTCACGATAGTTTTCAAAATTTCCATTTTATGATTACCTTCGAAGATTGAGGTGTGGAATATATGGTCATCCAATACAGAAAATAACTTTCCATCACTGATAAAGAGATCCAGAGATATTGTTGATGAAAACTTCCCTAATATTTTTTTCGCTTGGCATACAGTTATCATTAAGAGACATTATCTGCTTAACTTTTTTTTCAATGAATGCATAAGATTTCACATGAGGCTACTCTATTTTCTGTTCAATAATTTAAAGTAATCAAGATCCAAGCTGGCTCCCCTTTCTTATTCTAGTGAAGAAATGCAAACTTCACACTTGATAATTTTCTTGATACTTTTAACAACAAAACCTGCAATATATGCTACAACATTCTCTGTCAGGATTGAAAGAGTTGGTAAGAATTTGATAATGATGTAGATATTATATTTTTTTATAAGGGACATCTCATCCAATGTTATTGCTGGTTGAATCTGTCTCTGCGATGAAGTGGTAAGAATTGTCATGTTGTCGAGAGCAAAACAATTCCCATGTAAACTGTTGATTTCATGATAGTCCAATAAATGAAGGAGGAACTAAAGGCAAAGTTAACGTTAATTACGCACTATTTTCATCTTCCGGTTGGAAGTAGCTTTTGGTACCTCATTAAACATGAGACAAAGTTATATATAAAATATGGCAGTTAGAGATTTTCGGTTCAGATAAAAATTGAAGTTCAGTTAATTTTCTACAAAAATGGTCCCTATCATTTTTTTCGCAACATCAATATTTTCTGCAAAAAAATCGGGTTGAAAAACTGGAAATTTTGAGACTTGTGAAATATGCAAGTTTTGTACAAAATTTGAGCTGGGGGGTGTTGGAAATCCATTATTTTCAATGTTTTGGATTGTGGAAACCAATTGTAGATGGCGCCACCACATTTTACAGATTGGGAAATCCTCGGTGCCATAAATGAGAAACCCTGTAGCCAGACATTTTTGATGGATATTTATGTTTCCAAGGGTCTTGTTTTCCTCTCAGATGAGGCCTCAAGATATACTTATCAGGAAAACAGGCTATAAGATTAATTACAGCAGGATGGACCTCACCAGTTGGCCTAAATCTAGCAGAGTCAAAATTGTTGCACTGGAAGCCGCCATTTCTACATTTGAGAATGAATCGTCTCCTGCACTGTTTGTGCATTTGCACAGACGTTTGTTTTTTTTTAAAAATATGATGTTTTTCCTTCCTTTCCTCGCTCACATCAATCAAATTTTCTAAGCCCCGCGTTACGGTGACAGCATCCGCAGAAATGGGTTCCTTACAAAGGAAACACACTGCTGTAGCAGAGTTGACCTCCATTTTTCTATAACAAGAAAGGCAGACCAAGATTTCACTCAAAATAGTTGCTTGTAAACAAATGTTCTTGAATAAAAACAACATGAACAAATTCTCACCTTTTGCTCCAATTTTACAAAATTTTAATCTTTACTTTCTATATGTTTTGGGTTGGTGATAAAAGGTAATTTTAACGAAAAACGTGAATATTTCTTCAATATTCTTCACTTTTATCACTTTTCTTTCTATAATTGACAATAATATTCACCAAAACAATGACAGAAAACAAACACAGTTATGCCTCCAAGCGTGGCCGCATGGTTTGTACCAGACGACCCGAGCGCCACGTAGAGCACACACGCGGCGAACGACGAAGGAACGAAAGTAATAAATTATAGCGTGTACATTTAGATATACTGGTTTTTTCCCGGGATATCAAAGGTATGACTTATATACATCGATGGAAAGGTGGGAATTCCCCCGTTACACTAGTTGAGGTGTTAAAATGTTAGAAATAAAGAGCACGGAGAAAAAAACCACCGAAAAAAAAAGTGCGATTTTTCCTTGACCCCGCTTTTTCTAATTTTATTGAAAAATGGACGACTTCGTCTAAAA